CGCTCTTGACCTTGCTCTCCCACAGAACAAATTTGCCTCAATGGACTGGGGACACATTTTATCAGTATCACCAGCCAGGGTACCCCAAATTAAAAGCCCTAGCTGGAATTTTTTTTTGCATTTTTGGGACTACCTACCTTTGTGAACAGGTTTTCTCAGTAATGAACATCAATAAAACAAAACTGTGCTTAAGGCTCACACACCAACATTTAAATGATATTCTGAAACTGGCTGCTACTCAGGACATGACACCTGACACATGCACTTGTGCAGGCTAAAAGATGCCAAGTTTCAGGAACAAAAACAAAGTAGTCTAAACTAGACAAATTCTTGTAAAATGCTGCATCACAAACTTTTTGCACTCAAAAAATACAGTTCTGTGAAAATGAATCCTTGCTGTAATAATAGTTCAAAATTGTGCAATTTAATGTTAGTCACCAGCTTCACTACAAAAGAGTTTTGGTCATAAATTTTATGTATGCATTTTTTATTCATGTACAGTATAAATCTTATATTTACAGGCCAGGTGATTACTTTCTTTCTTATACATTTAAAATGACCACTTTGGTTTGTAAGATGTGGACAGTCAATTTAAGTTTTGAGAGTTATTACACGTGGAAAATGGAGTAAAAATAATTCTTATATCTTGATAAGTTGATTTAATCTTAAAGTGCAGTAGGCTACCATATCTTTCAGTTCTAAATACCTGTGACGTAAAGTTTTGTGCCTTTTTACAATCACTGTGATCAGTTGTAATGCACACATGTAAATGATAAACTGAAGCAAATTGCACGTTTTTATTGAGAAATCTGAAGTTGTTCATAACATGTTTTGTAAAAGGATATTTCATTAAATACAAAAATATCCTAATGTGATTGTACTTCTTTCCACTAAAACAAAGGGGAAAACATGAATTTATTGTTATTTATAGCTATCGTGAGCTATGCTATGATTTTAATGGTCCAGCCCACTTGACATCAAATTAGGCTGTATGCGGCCCCTGAACTAAAATGAGTTGGACACCCCTGGTGTAGAGAGATCATTTCTAAAGGCTGTAGCTGCCCGAGGTGTGGCTGGGGGAGGAGAGGCCTGATTGTCAGCTGCGGAGGTACTCGTAGAGGCATTTTGAGTAAGAGCACCACCAACTTGTGTTGTAAAAACGGCACTGTGGTCATCATTTTTCTGTGTTCTCTGTAGTATGGGGGAATGCACTAGAGAATTTATATCCTTTCAACTAGTGCTTCAGACTCACTTAAAATTTCATTATAAGGTTCTGTATTTATAACCCGCAATGTTTCGTTTAAACTTATCAATTCACAATCTAATTCATCCAGCCGATGGGGTACTGTCTGGAAATGCTGAGCAACAGGAGAAGGAGGCCACGCATTTAAACAGCGTATTTGGGCTGTGACCTCGGCTAAACACTATAGGCTCAATTTCTCTTATTAAGCCTCTTCCGGCTCTTTCAAACCAGGAACTCACAAAGACGAAGTAGACCACTTGGATTATATAAAAAATAACCGTGCTGGTTTATTCAGAGGATCACAGG